AGGGAAAGAAGATGTATTGAATAATAATGATGGGAGTGCATGGCATGGAATTATGTGCACCCATAAATCATAATAATAATAATAATAATAATAATAATAATAATACTAATTATCACAAAGATGGAAATGGTGCATGTGTTTGTACGTGTGAATGAGTCAGACCTTGTTTGCACGGCGTTCTCAATTGTTGGATGATGTCCTTTGCCATGCCAACTCATTGCTTCCAAATCCTGTCTGTTTCCCAACTTGCTTTCAACTGTTTCTCAATTTTGGACCTAAGGTTCTCCTATGGTAGTTACCTCTTTTTCCCTATAAGATCCATGCCTTTTCGTTTTTCACCCTTTTCTTTTCCTTCCAATTGTAGCATATTATTTTCCACCGAAGAACTTCCTTCTTATTTAGTATTTGGCAAGAGGAAGATACTTTTTTTGTATTTTGTTTTTCTTGTTAAGCAATAAAAGGATAAATTGTGTTCTCGCACTCAGGTTAAATGCGAATTCTTTGATCCATTGAGACGCCAAGAGATACAAAAAATAGAACAATCTACACTCTCTTCAACAATTTATGTTCCATATGCATCAGACACATTTTTTAAGTTCATACGCGTCAAACACACAACCTATACACATCAAACACACAACCTTACTATGGACCCCAAAATCATATAAACCACTTGGATGGTTACATAATAGCAATTTCTAGTTCAACCGGAAGATTCCTGGATCAGGAGTCATAATAACAATTTCTAGTTCAACCGGAAGATTCCTGGATCAGGCGTCATAATAGCAATTTCTAGTTCAACCGGAAGATTCCTGGTTCAGGCGTAAAGGACCAAAGGACTCTCAAATCTACTTGTTTTGGCAGTTGTTTTGTTGTTTTCGGTTATCATATAATGAAAATTTGGTGACACCGCATAGAAAAGTATCACATCTTTAGTGAATATTTCTATTAAACTTCAGATTTTTGCAATTTTGTTACATGTGCGTACTTTCTGAACTTGTCGCATTTATTTATTTATTTATTATTATTTGATAATGAACTTATCGGATTTGTTGGATTCTATTGCCAATGGCCTTTTTAAAGCGTACTTTAAATAATCATTCTTAGTCTTGTTAAATTAACTGTTGAATTTTTGAAAAACACATTTAAAAAAAAAATAATAATAACAAAACCAGGAACCCACCGTTTTTGCATTCTGTACATCCACGTATGGAAGGCCTGCCTAAGATCAGGCCGTGATCAACTTCCGTGACTTCATTAATTATAAATTGGAGGACCAAATTAAGAAAAGCTCATGGAAAAACATAATATCTCATGGAGATAACGTGAAGGAGACCTTTCAGCAGTGAAAGCAGGTCTTATGGTGGAGCCAATCTTTCAATTATTTCTTTTATTGCAACACCACCTACTAATAAGTACGTGTGTGTGTGTGTGTGTG